CGTTGATTTGGAATATCCAGTGACTTGGTATATCAGGGTAAAAGGGTAGGCTTTAGATATAGGGGATGAAAGGAATTGAACGGAATTAAAGGAAGTAGAAGTTGAACTTCCCTTGTAAGACGTCGACCGCCGTTCTCATAAAGGGATTCTTGTCACGGGCCTGGATTTAGATAGGGGTTGTTTTTGAAATTAGATAGGCCTCTTTTAATTGGTGGTCTATTTCCGGAACCCGAATTAACCGGTTCGACGTTCTTCGCCTTGTGGGCCCCCGATGAGAGCCCATGGGACTTATTGGGTCTGAATTTGAGCCACTGGTAAATTGGGTTAATTTATTCGTTCCAATACCGCCATGAGATTGTTTAGTTCGCCTGTCGCCGCTGTTCGAAGTCGTGACGCGAATTGGAAAGCAGCCCTCGGGTGGGACTTATTCTTGTGGCGTTACCAAACACAGAAGTCCCCTTGATCATTCATCGTCACGCAGCACCAGTGTAATTCACAAGGGTGCATGGGTTGATATGATCCATCACTGTAGACTAGTATATTGATATCCATTATCAGTGATGTATGTTCAAATTTTTTAGTCCATGCAATATGCAGATTTCCAAAATTTTTAAGAAGCTACAAAAATTCTACTCCAAGATATCCTTTGGATTTTTATAATAATTTTTTGTACCATTTTGCGCGCATGTTAATGTTCGTTTGACCCAGTCTTCCGTCCGATCGAATTCTCTTGTCGCAACTGTCAAAACTTATTTTTCGCCATGACTAAACTCGCGTGATTTCTATTCGGACTGCCTGCTCCGTTACGTGTGGCTAACATTGCGTGCGGTTTCTGCAAGTGTATCAGGCGTGTGGAGGTTGTTCACCAATGACGTAGTTATGGACGGTGTATATGTAGGTTAGGTTGAATATTCTCGTGGCACGAATGAGAGCGCTGTTATTGGTAGGAAATTTCGACTCGAAATAACTTAAACGTTTATGTCGAGTGTTCCGGATGTGTTACTCAGATTTCCGCTTTGATATTACTGCTCCATATATTTTCTCGCTACATTTTATTTACGTTGTCGTACATTCCGCGGCATTTCTATTTGGTTTATGGTGTGCTTATCTTGACGCGGCTCATTCGATCACGGTTTAACGATTACCGACTCGGTAACAATTTTAAGGTTATGTGAGTCGGTGACGCCATTGTTGAACCGACGTGACGAGATTTTGATTTTGATTTTATTCTTCGAGCTCTATCCATTTCGGTTTAATGGAAAAACGGAAAACTACGAAATATAGCAGAATAACTCGGAATGGTAAGGTATCGGTAATAATAATAATTATTAATTTTTTTTTTCCAAATCAGGAATCAATCAATGTATTGTATGAATTTTATTGGCTTGAAATTATCTAGGTTTGAAATTTTTATTTTTTTACATTTTCCAAAAACATCAATCAAGAGTATTCCACATATAGATAATCCGTTTCGGGTAAAATTTTTATTTCGTACTGTCGATATTTTTCTTTTTAAGAAGAAATAGATTTTAGAGAATGCCAAGACATTCGATCGGAGATTCAAAAATATACCGAAAGGATAACAGTGACGTCATAACGTAATTGAAAAATTTATGACGTCATACTCCTCAGACCAGAATGTTTCTTTTTTTTTTTGGTTCGTCCATACTTACGTCACCAGGCGGTATTGGTTTTAATTAACGATGCGCACCAATCAGCATTGGCGTGCATCAAGGAGAAGCTCGAGAGAAAAGTTTTTCATTGGCTCGTTTGAAATTAACGGCTTTCATCGTTTACCCAATGGATACTGGTATCTGGCTATTTTCGTAATGATGCAGAACAGAGTGCACTATCCATGATGGGATGCATTTATGCAGCATAAAGATGCACCATCAAGAAAGTGAGGCTCAGACCATCATCTCGGTGCAACGTACTTCTGGAGGGGATAAATAACAAAATTTTTCTCGGGTAGTTGTTACATTATTTTTAAGAGACAGTCGCTAGGGACTTTTATCATTTTCCTTTTGCGTTTAACTGACTGGATTTATCCTGGGGGATTTTGCAGACATGAACTTCGACGTCGGTTGACTTATGACTTTTGCCGCTGGCAATTCGTTCTGTCCTCGATTCACAAGTTTCACATGGTTTTTTTTTTGACAGTTCCAAAATAAACAAATTCTAGCAAAGCCCACGTGTTATCGCACAAAAAGTCTGTTACAAAGGACATATATGCACGATTTTGCACTAAATATTTTTTTACTTAAATAACGTAAATTTCATATACGACTCGTATATGAATCTATAGCTATATATGGGCAAAATAATGTACGAACTATATATTATTAAATATATATCGTTCTTTTACCTGAGATTTTACCTACACATTTATTATATATAACTGTAACTCTATTATCTATAACTGTAATTCTATTACGTTTGACAGTACGTAATTATTTGAATGGGTCTTCACGTATATCTCGAATTACCAGAAATAAAAAAGCGTATTATCGAAAAACGTTAGTCCTTATTGCCATACCATTATTATTATTGTACAGAAATATTTGATGCATAATTCGAATTCCCGTAAGCGATCAATCTAAGCACAATACCAGCACACGTGCACGTGGAGTGACAGTAAAATGAAGGGCGACGTAACACAGTAAACCAATTCGTCAGACTTTTCCGTCATCTTCGTCAAAATATTCCCAATTCAAATTCCAATCGGTTATACAGATCAGCCGACATCTATATATATAAGAAATAGGTTATGTAAATACATAATGTCAAAATATTATCGATCGACCCTCGTTACATCATAGAGAAAATTTCTGACATTGATCAAATGAATTTTGCACGCAGGATGTGACGTCAGGCCGATCAGAAGTGGTAATCCGCGTACTTCATTCTGTTCGGACCCGATTGGTCGTTGGGAAGTGTAACTCCCCAGAAGTTGACATTACGAAGTAAGGAGGGCAGGATGGGTAAGGGATGGAAATAATGTTTCAAGGGATTCAAACTTGCCGCAGATATAAACAGAAATTTGGATCTAGTTGCTAAAGTAAACACAACCCTGTAGTTTCCATCGACGTCGCAGCTAGGACCCCTCCCCACTAGTGCCAGTGGTAACAGCCGTGAACAGATCCGCCCGTACGAAGGAATCTCCCAGCATCCTCCCCACTCTTCGGATGATCTAGGAAGCTGAAACCCTCCTTCTTCCCCTACTCCCCCTCCCGCTCCTAAGGTAAACCCTCGCATTCCACCTCCGAGTTTCGCCCTTATAGCGCGTCTAACTGAACGTGGAACTTTTCACTTAGCCTCAGTTGCCAATAAAAAGTTGGCTGATCTAATAACCGGTGACACTACTGGTTCTCTTCCTTCACTCCATATACGAGCTATACCTATATATACATGTAGAAACGCGCGCAAGCATATATCTACTTTCATTCTATAGGACGTCATGGGAACTTTTGCGCAATTTCGTATAGCGACTTAAAGAGCGGGAAAGCTGTTCGCTTTCGAAAAGTTATTTTCCCGAGCACCCTGGACTTCACGTTCAAGTTGCATTCGTTCTAAATGTATTATCCAATTCGGATAGCTTCCATTATTCTCCTGTAGCCCCATTAGCTCCAGACATGGATGCTGACTCCAGGGTGTACTTCGCTCTGAGGTTTTAAGGCACTTTAACACTCCTCCTCCCCCCCCCAACCCCTTCGTCACTCCATTCACGTGCCACTGCTCTTTACAGGATCGATCGTCATCGCGAGATCCTCTTGGGTCACTTCCGGCGCACTTGGAATTCTCCAATGTTGACCCTGGAGCTCAGGACCAGGGTTCCGTCTTGTTCTCTACCAACCGTCCTAATCCGTTTACTCGCAAAGATCCACACGATCTCCTAGAAAGTTAGACCGTTCCACGTTCCACTAGCGTCGCTCTCATAGAAACTGCCAGGATCTACTAGCCTTGCAGTATGTTAGAAAGAAGCAGGCACCCTTGAGCTTTGTGCTTCGACCTGGTTATGTCTATAAGCGTCCAGGTCTGAAGTTGCCACGATGGTGCCATGGATCAGACTTTTTAGGTAGTTGGGTAGCTCCGATAGGTGCGTGATGGAATTAATTATCTCATAGTTCGTAATGTCTCCGTTCCATTACTATAGGGCGACTATGGTCGTCTTCGCTCTCCTTCCTCTATATCGGGCTATGTCATTATCTTTTAAGAGCGTTTACCACAGTCTAAAAGTCCATGCTGACTATAGTCGTCGAAAGAAAAAGTCTCTACATGGTATCAAGTTTAGGAAAATATATTCTGAGCTGACAAAGCTTACTTGTTTCAGTCCCTTTAGGAGCTTTTCGGCCTACCTAACCTCCCTGTCCTTAGTTCTCCAGATTTACGACATTTTACTTATCCCCTTTGCCCCTCTGTATTTCGGTTCACTAGGTTCACTCTGGCTTCACCTTGGATTGAGTCTATATGGTTAAATGGCTCCAGATAAAACGTATCCCCAAGACGTCCTGCCCCCCTCTGCCCCGCGTGGCCTGAAATTACGCCGAGGGAATTCCTTGGTATTTCTTGAAGAGAATAGGGAGAGAGGCGAGCCAGGGGGTAGAGGGGAGGATACCTTAAGCCATGGGCGACAAGCCTGCCACCTGATGGGAGAAAAAATATTTAATCGAGTTCCCGGCGCGCCTTCCAATCTCGTGGTTGTATACGGAGACTTCCAAGAGGGTTTGATGGGAGATATCGTCGGAGGGGGAAGAGAGGGGAAGGGAGTGGCAAACGATCATCCCTTAGGAACATCCAGAACTCGTGGAACATTAGCGTTAGCGCAAGTCTCGTTACGAGACGAAAGCCCCTACGATATAATTTCTCGAAAGCTCGATGCGCCAGTTCGAAAGCTATTAGCATTATGCCACGAAGTTTAAGCTTTTAATAAAGATTTTAATATTTGAACGTTCCTTCCACCCCTTAGGCCACCCCCGTATCATGATCCCCTTTACGGGTACCGATGCCACTGGGACGTCCTTGGCTTTTTTTTCTTTTTTTTTTTTTTTACGTCCCTCAAGTGCCCCACATAAGGCAACCGTGTGCTAAGTACTTACAACCCCCCATTCGCGTGGGGCTGCTTAAAGCTAAAAAGCTTCGGAAAAAATGTTCTTTCTCTTCTAATTACGTTTATGAATTTACATTAATTCCCAGAGGGTGAATTAATCGTATCTGATACCCGAGGAGTTCCAGTTAAAAATTTTTGTCCTTTCTGTACTTGTACCTATAGTCGGTGCATAAGAGCTTAAACGTGGTAACGGACGTCTTTATTATTTAGTTTTAGAAATTGGTAAGACTTACCACCGATGACGCGACAGGTCAGTAGCAACTCGTCGTTTTCCTTGTAAGGACCAGCCGTTCCGTTTAACACGTGTCCCATTCTGTCGAGAATCGTTGGCTCTTCCGGCGGAACTGAAAACACATGTACGAAAGGTTCGATTTAATACGTCCGAAGGATCTTCGTGATAACACGGCTTATTTATTTAGCTTGTTTATTTATAATCAAAGATATTATCGTTGGATTCAAATTTTACTTTTTTCTTTTTAAATTGATCTATCTTATCACTCTTTTTTTTTCACCACTCGTACCACGTCACGTTTTGGATGATTTTATATCCGGTACTCGTTAATAAAGCTGATAGTCAAAGTTCAGGGAACAAGCGTGCCTCGACTCCACTTTACAGACTATGTGGCTCCGTATCTACTTAAAACCACTCTCTTGCTGTACAGCGTATACTGTATACATATATACATCGTAAATGAGATACGGTATACGATATACAGTGCATGACTATGAACGGGAGCTAACCACATTCTATGGTGTCCCCTTAAAAATGGCTCCTCTCTGTCTCCGAGGCAACAACTCCCATTTGCAGGGTAGCAGGAATTACGGTATAGTGTGGTCGCAAGGATGCTTACCTGGCACAATTAAATACAGTGTGTCCAAAGGCCATAGCAATTTGACTGCTTATGATAACAGTACGTAGATTCGTATATTATACATATTATACTATACCTATAGATGTCACGTCAGCAGCCGAGCTAATCGTATGGATTATTTTGAATGGGGTTATGCAATATCTGTATAAATCCAGTAAACCACGATATAGATATAATCGGTGTGAATGCGTCGATTTGCCAATAACAATAATAATAATAGTAATAGGAGTACGGCGTGGAAAAATATTGCCTCCGCCTGACAATTCACGTCACGTCAAGATACTCGATAGAAATTCTATGTATTTATCGAATAGCCATTTCAATGCCCATATACGGTCACTCGTATAGTAAAATCTCATATACGTGAATTTCCATATACGTGAATACCAACGGACTATTTTTTTTCTTCAGCCTTCGACCCTCACAAAGTGGAAAGTGCTACTGGTGACAATTAATTTGAATACAGAGGCAAAGTACTTTTGAAAAATAATACAAAGAGACCAGCGTTGATCCTTTATTTTAGTAAACAGGCAGCTATAGATATATAGGCGAGCGTTGAGCAAAAATATGAACGATATAAGAAAACAGTAAACGGAAATGAATGCTAGGTGATCTTTCGGCGTCTCCTGGACTTGCGGTAGGCGATGATGATGTCTGTTCGTGCAAACAGGAAGTCGGGACTTCTCGTCAGGTCGTCACTTCCGGCCGCGTGGACGAGTGCACAAGTTTTCTCCACACGCAGAAGATTATAGGCGTCGGCTAAAAGGGAAGTTGTGGCCGAGGTCAAGAGGTCAGAATGACAGGAGGGACGCCAAACGAGCGTCGCGACGCTAATCGACGTACGTGAGGACCAAAGTAATGACCTGCTTTGGTTCTGTTCCGCATTCACGTTTAAGAGGGGGAATCACATGTGTAGCCTTATGCCGGGTACACATGTGTCGCGCCATGTTCGCGCTTCGAATACTCCACAATGGACCTAGTGGAGTTTCCTTGCGGGCACCAGTGAAGAGGGGGTGGAAAGTGGGTGGGTAATGGCGACCTATAGAGTGGTGTAGAGGGGAGGTTGGGGGGGGGGGGAGGAAT